AACTGTAAAGAAGTAAAATTTAGAGAAAGGCAATGGATGAAGAAATTGAAAACTAATTGAAAAATACACTTGATCTGTTTAACCTACCTCAAAGACATAGATTGATCGACTCTTTAATATGGCGTTACAAACTAAATATAAAGCAGAGATTGCTCCATCAAAAGCATACGGCTGCTTTAGTGCAAAAGGCTATCGCAAACAACCTGGATAGACTTCAATGAAACATTTGCTCCAGTTGCTCGCATGAGGACCATAAGAAAAACCGATTCTTGCCTTGGCTGCACAAAATGACAACCGGTTATATCACTAATGTCAAATCAGCTTTCTCAAGGGAGAGCTGAAGAATGAGTTTATGATTGAACATCGCGAAGAACATAATTTTTTTTTTTTTTTGGTGAATAAAAGATAAAAATAAACAGAAAATACACATCTACAAGGCATATCCCCAGGACCTACCTACAGCTATACAGAACAGAACATATAAGCCAACAACTGTTCACCTTTCCTATATAGATCTTAGCAATAGAAGGATGTGAACAAGATGAATATAAACAAATTATACCAACCTAGACGAAGACAAAACGAAGCATAGTTGTGCGGAGTCTTGTGTCTTTGAAAAGAACCTTCCAGCTACTTGGTAAGCACCCAAGCAATATGGAGAACCTGGACACGTACTCCACAAGGAGACACGCGCCAAACCAAACAAAATTCCACTACACATCCCGAGGATAGAATAAGAAACCCAAACAAAACAACCTGGTTAAGAATATATGCAACCCAAAACATGGTTGCTAGAAACTATTAAGAACACAAAAGAAGCACAAAGTTACTCCTACACAAAGCCCTAGAATAAGCTAACCATGCTATAAAAAATTATTGTAAAAAATACAATGAAAAAACAACTGATTTCTCCCTCATGTAGCACAGCAAGGCGCTAGCAGCAGCCATCACCATGGTACAAACGCAACCTACAAACTGCCACCCGAATCTGTGCAGCATGTATTCATCACCCCTCCACGCCATAAAACAAGGATACCAGCAGCAACCTCCTGTAACTGCACTGTAAGCAACACCACACCTCCTCACCAACAAGTGAGCCTGTCGAAAATCATAAAGGAGAAGAAATAACAAACACACAATATAGGAGCTCTCCTCACTCGACCCACAACACAGCATGTCTCTCCACTCCATATATGATCTCACATCACTAGTCCCACAACTCACATGATACCTCGAAAGAATCAGAAAGACATTATACTTGAAAGCTCCAAGAACCTGCACAAACCATATATAAGATATAATAAAAATTAGCGTAAAACATGTGTGCTGTCTCTCATCACTCAACCCACAATGTCTGGAAATATTTAGGTAGCTCACAACACTCAACCCTCCATACGGACACATCAATCTAGGAGATGATTTAGGATTCATGATAACCTGCAAAAGAGCACCCAGTTAGTAAACCCCACAATAGTTGCTCACCATCACTCAACCCTCAATGTAGGTAACCTCACAACACTCATTCTTCAGCCAGCTGCAATAGTATGGTGCTGCTGCAAGATTTTGGGAGGAAGACTCCATTCCTCCAAAAGCCAATTATCACCGGCAGAAATTTTAACATTTTCCATAGAAAGAAGCCTACCCCTAACCATTTGGATAATAGAGTTACTAACAACCTCTTCAGGCTTTTGGGCCTTATTGAAGATCCTACTATTCCTCTCCATCCAAATGTGGTAGACAGTGCAAAGAAATGATAGCTTCAGAATCACCATTTTCAAGGAGGTACCACTGGTGGATCTAACAGCAAAATCAACAGTTTCCAACCAAGGCAAAGAAGGCCAGTTAGACTTACACTTGGCAAGGATACCACCCCAAATCCTAGAAGAAAATATGCACCTAAAAAAAAGATGGGAATGATTCTCCTCAGGATCTTGACAGAAAGGGCAGTAAGGATTTGTAACAAGACCACAAGTTTTAAGTCTATCACCTGTAATAACCCGACCCTCATATCTGTTTCTAGTATATTTTCGATCTGTTATTCTGTGCATTTACTTGCTTTCTGTGAAAAGTGATTTACATCTGTGGCATTTTTATTAGTGTATTTGGAACCTCCCTATTTTATTGGATAGAGAAGTCACCATCAGCAGCCAAATTCCAAAACGGAGTATCAGAAGAGCCAAGGGAAGGAAGGAAGGATAAAGGGGTAGAAGAGATCCACTCCTTTATCTCCCAAGAGTTAGAGATAGGCCACTTCCAAGAACCATTAGAGACTATAGAGCTGACCTTGGTGCTGTCAGGAAGATTAGTGTCATAAAGAATTCTAGGACCAAACTTATGCCACAACGAACCAAGCGGGTGCCAATTGTCATACCACAGGAACACATTTTCCCCATTACCAATTTTGAACTTGATGTGAGGATAGATTAAATTCCTAAGAGACAGGATTTTCCTCTAGACCCATGAGGGATCACTAGGAGTTCTAACAGCCCAAAAGCTCCTACCTTTAAGCAAGTAAGCCTTGACCCATTGGCACCACATGGAACAATCACCCCCAGAAAACAAGTACCAAACATGTTTGGCTATAGCAGCCTTGTTCCAGGTAGCTAAGTCCTTGAAACCAAGGCCACCCTCATTTTTTTTCCTGCAGATATATCTCCAAGCAATCTTAGCACTATGTTTCTTCAACTCAACCCCAGACCAAAGAAAAGATCTAAGGATGCTCTCAATGTCACCAATGATTTTCTTAGGGAGGATACATAATTAAAGGAAAAGAAGACAAGGTTTACTGACTTCGGAAGGCACTGCATGGACTAAAAGCAAGCACCCAGAGCCTGGAACAGCACATAGACAAGTATTTTTGTCAAAATGGTTTTCAAAGAAGCCAAAGTGAACCATCACTATATATCAAGAAAGGAGGTACGCAAGACTTTCTCATAGTTTGCCTGTATGTTGACGATTTAATCTATACAGTAGCTAAACCATCAATGGTAGAAGAATTTAAAAAAGCCATGGTGAAGGAGCAAGAGATGATTGATTTGGGACTTATAAGATATTTTCTCGGTATTCAAGTGAAGCAGTCAAAGGGAGAAATATTTATCTCTCAAGGAAAATATCTTGAAAATTTATTGAAGAAATTTCATATGTCTTGATTGTATTGCCACGCTTGACATGGAGTGAAGGGCACACTGTCGTGGGGTTTGAGGCTTGTGATCTTCCAAGGTAGGGATTGGGGGATGTGATGTTTGATCTTATGCGATTTTTGGCTATATATTGGTCTGTTGCTATGGGGCTATTTTTGGCTATATATTGGTCTGATTGCAAATCAATTTCTACTCCAATCTCTTTAAATGAGAAGTTGCAAGTAAATGATGGAGCAGAGAAAGTTGATGCTACCGCCTATCAAAAATTGGTTGGTTCACTAAATTATCTCACTAATTACAAGGCCAGACATTGTTTACTCTGTAAATCTTATTTCCAGATTTATGCATGAATCAAGCAAGCTACACTATGCAGCAGCAAAGCGAATTCTTTGGTATCTTCAAGGGACCATGAATCTCGGCATCAGGTATGTGAAAGAAAATGACAGTAGACTCATTGGCCACACTGATAGTGATTGGGCAGGATCATTGGATGATCGAAAGAGTACATCAGGTTATGTATTTTGTATTGGCTCAAAAATTATATCTTGGAGTTCCAAGAAGCAGAAGACTATAGCTCTATCATTAGCAAAAGCAGAATATATTGCAGCTACAGATGCAGCTTGTGAAGCAGTCTGGCTTAGAAAAATTCTTTTAGATATGGAGCAGAAAGAGAAAGGTTCCACTACAATTTTTTGTGATAGCATGTCAACCATTGCAATGAGCAAAAATCCAGTATTCCATGGCAGGACAAAGCACATTGAGCTACGACATCATTTTATTCGAGACGGTGTACAGAAAGGTGAGATCCAATTGGAGTTCGTCAACACAAAGGAGCAATTAGCAGATATCATGACAAAAGCAGTGCCAACAGAAAAATTCTTACAGTTTCAAGAATGCATCAAGATCACAAATTAAGTGGGGGTGTTAAAATATAATTTGTAATCTAGAAAATCTAGAGTAGTTAATGAATAATTTATGAAGATATATTTATCTAGAAAAATCTAGAGTAGTTAATGAATAATTTATGAAGATATTTATCTAGAAATATCTTGTAGATTGAAATAATCTATCTAGATATATATTAGATATTTAATAATGATAGAAATATCTAGAAATGTATAATAATGATGTTAGAAAATATCAAACCTTTCTAGAATTTTTCTAGAAGAGGTTAAGATGATAATGTTCTCTATATAAAGCCATGAGCTAATTATAAATGTGTATGCAAGAATCTTGACTTGTACTTAACATAATAAGAAGAAGTTTTCTTATATTTGCATCTCTACCTTATCTTCTTCCATAATTCCCTTCCTAGCTTGCCTAAGTTCTTATCAAATATACCTTGTCACCCCCAACAGAGAGAAGCCTTTCTTGCCGCCAATGACGAAACGAAGAGTGAGAGTGAGAGTGAGAGTGACAGAGAGAGAGAGGGAGAGAGAGAGAGAGAGAGAGAGAGAAAGAAAGACAAAACAAATGAAAAGATAACTTACGTATCTTAGGGTTTTCATTGTCCATTTCATCTGGTCCATCTTCAGCTTCTCCTTCTCCTGCTTTTCCGACCATCCTTGTTGCCCGTAAAAAAGCTGGGTCATCTTCTCTGAGAAAGAACTCCCTATACAAAAAAAAATATATATATTTGAAGAAAAAACATGAGAAAATATATATAAAATAACAAAGTATGTAAAAGAAATTATTAACAATGAACATCGACATTTGATGACTCTGAGAGCAGTCATGAGAGAAGCCTTTCTCCCCCGGTCGATTATCTGGTGGTGTTGTGATGTGCATGGCGGCAGTTTGTTAGCTCTTTATGACATGTATCAGGTTGTTAAGTTTTGTTGAGGGTGTTTTTTTGTCCTAGTTCCGTGGATTTCAACAGTTGCTTGGGCGTTTGCTGTGGTTGCGGTTTTTGGAAAACTTTCCGGGCTCTCTACTCTTTCCCTCTCTCTCTCTGCAACTCCCTGGTTCTATGTTGAGCTTCGGTTAGCCTGACTTGATTTGGGTATTTCACCCAAGTCTCGCCCGAGCAATAGTTAGGCCCCGATGGTTTCAACCGCCGGGGTCAGTGTGCCCTGTCGGGTTTGGTCGTTTTAGTGGTTTTGGTTTGCTGCGTGTGATCCCTTGCTCGATGTAAATGGTAGCGAATGGAGTTTTTGGTTTTGGTCTGAATGGGTCCTGCGTTTTAGCCTCTTCCCTGTTCTAGTGAGAGGGTGTCTGTTTATGGTAGTCCATCCGAGGGTTATGTGACTCAACTGACCGGTGTAGGTGGTGTCAGACTTGACAGTGGTCATCACGGTCTTTTGTCTTGTTTATTGGTGATTTTTCGATAAACTCAGATGAATTAGATATTATTTCTTCCTGGGTGTCAATCTCTGGGTTGCGGGCTCAAACAAGTCAAGATGTCTGCCCGTTCGTTCTGTATGACGTCGCAATTGTTGGCTGGGGTATGTCACCTATCATGCTAGATTGAAGCTGGAGTGTCGTTCACGTATTCTCTCCAATGGACTTGTCTTTCTGACGCCGGTTTTGTTTCGGATTTCGCTGGCGTCCGCTGCTACATCGGCGTCAGTATGCGGTTATTTGCTTCGGTATAGGGTGTAGTTGGTTTTGTTGAAGACATGCTACTACATGCCAGCTGTTGGCGTTTAGTGAACCATTGGACCCTTGCGACTTCACACAGCTGTTGGTGATGTTTGCAGCGCTAGTGTCCTAGGAGTAGCTGTCCATTGTTGCTGTACACGTTGGTTGCCGTATAATTCAGGGTGGATCCATCACGTGACTCAGGCGAATCCTTGGGAGGAACACATCCCAAAACTATTACTTATCAAAACGGAAAATTGTAGTTGATCCGTAAGGCTGGGTGCAGCCACATGTTCTTATTTCTGATTTTTGTTAGCAATTCACGGTTTGATGAATGTTTGTACTCGGAATCCCCTCTTAGTGTAGCTCTTATGGTTCTAAATGTTCTACTCTGCCGTGTGTCTGTCTCACCATCTGCTCTTCATATTATTGTTCTTT